CTTAATTACAATCTCTGAGGTTGTCAATAGTGGCACGATAGTCTACAGCTATCCTGTAACATCACCACATTCCATTCACTTCCACCTGATTGTTTAACTAACAGAGCTTGGGTCCAGTAGGGAAGAAAGTGTGAGGTAATACTGTCATGTAGTTATCCACCCAAGTGATCAACATTAAGTCGAATGCTACTCGGATGCTAACCTTGTTACTCTGATATGGAAACTTAATAACATCTTGTTTCCATCTCTATTTTGAAGAGAATTTATTTTTACCTTCAGTACTCGTGCACAGTCTGCATTTTCATGTACTATTGGTTGCCTTGCACTATTATTGAATGCTTGAAAGTATTTAGAAAACTATGTACTTTGAAAATATTTCATTCTGTCAATAGAAAATATTATATCATAATCAAACGAAACTTGGGTAAACCAAGCTCACACTTGTTATCCCAGTTGCTCTGTTTAGGAGTTTTACTTTCCATAGATAGTTTAATTTTGCTCATTTAGGTTTAAGCTTGGTCCAACTGAAATCTTGCCAACCAACACTCATAAAATGCAGGTACAACTGTGTTTTTTAAAGTGTGAATCTAAATATGTATCTGTACCATTACATTAAATATTTTCATAAGTTTCCTAATATATCTTAATATATCCTATCTGTATGCTCACTGAGAGTTAAGCTCTAGAGCACGGCTGCTCCTGGCCTATATATAATCCACTGACAGGAAAGATCATTTTTTATTTCTGTATATCACATGCTATGGTGGTATCTTCCTGCAAACAGTCGGTTAATTGCCAATTAGCAAACCCATATCTTTGGTGCTTTCGAAACAGGGAAAATTAAGATGTTACATGAACAAATTTATGAGAAAAACAAACTACAATTTTGAAACAAATTATAACAATGGGAGTAGCAGGCACATAACACTTTTCTGTTCTAAATTTCCCCCATCTTTACGTCCAGAACTAAATATCTAATTTTTAGTACACGTCATTCGAGAATCAGTAGAACTCATCTCATAAAAACTACTTGCCCGCAACACTAACCAACACAAAGGCAAAAACAACTTTACAAATGCAAAGACGTGGTTACACATCTTTCCTACTCTCTCTAGGAGGAGGTAATCTAGCAAACTATGATATATAAAGACAAAACAAAACTCTTAAACAATGAAACACTGAGAACTCTGAAATACAACATTAATTTTGAAAACTAATTAATCTTAACTAAGGGGATAACAGGTATCACCTTGTACTGCAACTAAAAGTATACCTTTTTGTAAACATTTTGTAAGAAAATCGGTATATCTTGTTCAAGAATACGGAATTCTAAAAATCAGAAAAGTTATTGGATAACATCACGTAACCGAGAACTTGTTACGAATATCGATATTAAGAAAAAATATTTTTAATTATTTCATAAATATGTGTCTCAGTCATGGTATGATTCATCTATGAATGTAAACTTTGTGTTCTATTTTAGCTATTATTGAAGCTATTAGGCTAGACATAGTTTATCGGAATTAACTTTTAATTTTTTTTACTGAATTTTAGGAATATAATTTTTATAACTACAAAGTTACTTCTTTTTGAAAAAAAAAATATATTTATGATATGCAGGCATATTATACCTTTTCAACTTACTTTTGGTAATATAGAATTCTACAAAGATTGTTTAATTAGTTTCTGTGAAGTTTTGACATAGAAACACAGTCCAGAACATTGTTGAAGTTTTGTTGTTCTAGTTACCCAGTTTCTTCGTTCTGTGTAACAAGTAATATCTACTCTGTACTTCACTTTGTTGGCTGAGTGAATACTGTTCGTGTGTTATAGCCAACGAATGCTGCGAGAGAACAACTGTCACATGATGGCGCCTTCGCAAGAGAAAGAATACGAGGTTTCTTTTATAATCGAAATAACTATTGTTTTTGATCATGATTAGTTCACTAGATTCTTCTTGAGAGTTGGAAAATTGAAGAGTTACTCAACGATCCTGTGGAAACGAATGTCTATTTGTTTGCGAAAGTAAACATGCTGTATTTCCCTTTTTATTTAAGTATAATAAAGATTATGTAGATTTCCTCAAAATTAGTCAGTCTTTGTATTTTTCATGTAGAAAGTTCAGTTAAATATAAAATATATACACAGTAGAATGCAAATTTGAATATATTCACGTATTTGTTTATTTGTTGTTGTTGGTAATGGACCAACAAATATTTAGGCGTAAATTCTTGATAGCTATGAAATTCAAAGGTATTTCCATAATTAATTAAAGAAAAAGGGGCAACATTAACTCATCAAACAAATCAGGTGAATGGAGTATAGCTACTGTTAACCAGGAGTATTGACAGCTACATTTGTAAATAATTATTTTGGACATTTTTAGGTATATATATATATACATGCTTGTTCCATATCTATTTTTTTTTCATATAATGAAAATATTAGCAATGATATTTCTACAAATAGAAGCTGTTGTCTAGTGAGACGTACTTTTACAAGATTGCTTATACGTTCCATTCAGACTCAATATTGATTTTTTAGAAAGATGGCTAAATCAAACTTTTCAAGAATCGAACCATATGCATTGACTTTTTACTTTAATATCTTCTACTTTATATACATTTTAGGTCTCCTAGTACAATCTGAGTAGAACTTATTTTACTGCTAGTTGGATTTACATGTATAATATTTTTGGTTCGACATATAATGTCAGATCTCGAAGATTGTAGGTTATTAATGACATTATAAACGGCCAATTTCCTTTTAAGCTGTTTTTTACTGGAAAATAAATACAGTTCACATTCACATAGTTTATCACATTTCTACAGGCGAATAAGAGTTCATTATTATTATTTCTATTTTAGAACTTTATAACATTCAACGAAACATGATTCGTTCAGCAGTTTTGTATTAATTAAAAGTTGTTCTTTGAGATTTCTTACCGGATCTTCCATATAAAAATGAGTGAAACAAAATGTTTAATGCGCATGTTATTCCGTTGCAAAATTGAAACATGCGAATATAATTATACAGGAAATAGAACATATAGAAACGGAAGGATAAACATAATATATAAATAAGTGAAACAAAAAAAGACGTAAATGAATCCTTAAACGAATAAACAGAAGGTCCAGATTTATTCTTGGCGAATAAAATCATAAGGTGATTTGATGATTAGGTCAACTTAGGACTCAGCTGGTTGCAAGATATTCAATATTAGAAAAAAATGGCTAGATTAGAATAATAAACATAAAACAGAAGTAGCATAATCAAGAAGCAATAATAAAGAAACTCGGTGATGAAGAAACCGAATAAAATTCAACCTTTTATCTTCAAAACATTTTGGCAGTTACACTGCGAATATTAGAAACAGCAGTAAACCGAAATAATATCCATTTGAATATATAACTAGCAACGATTCGTGGAATACGTATTTAGATATTTACATTCTAGTTTAAACTGACTTAGTATTTTAACAAATTAGTAAACATAAAAATTACAAAAAAGTTATTTATCTTCAATCTCCTTTCAAAGTCGTTTTCGTCTCTTGGTATAAAGCTTATGCATTATACCAGAATTCAAAATCATTTGAACTTGAAATGGCTGAAACAGTCCAGTCATTTAAAATACATTAATGAAATGAAGCTAACACTTCTCATGATTAAGATATCGATTCTTCTGTACCGCATTATATTTTAAGTTTAATTAATTCATACATCTTTTATTGGTGTATATTTTTAACTCGACCCAGTCATTCTGAAAAGCCTCGCTTGGTGAAACAAGCTCATTAAGTTGTTTAATTATATAAAAATGCTATCCCCCCCTTTGCTGCAAAAAAACCATAAAACCTGTATGAAAAAGTAATGAGAAACCTTAATGGAAAGATTCAACCAAACACTAATTTAATTGGGGCTGAAACCTCTTCACGTAACATTAGATTATTGTTACATGTAAACAGTTTCGTTCAATCCTAATGCTATTTTATAGGAGCTGTGAACAATAGTTTATAGATTTATTTATGGAAGTAATTTCATTATAAAAAGGCTATTAATTCTACTAAATATTGATGTATAATTTATTACATTCAGATGAAACGTGAGCGCTGATATAGTTACTTGTATAAAGATAATTTCAATTCTGCTGGATTAGCATGTAACTTTTCTTGTGTTTTTGTAAGCTAATATAAAAAAAAAGAAACAATGCCAGCCCAGAAATAATACTATTGAAAAGTATAGTGGATAGTAATAGAGAAAGAGAAACAACGTTTACTCTAATTAACAAAAATTTACTATTAGCAAAATACATGGCAGAGACAATTATGTTACTCACAAACATCAAAAATACAAGCTTTTTACACTTTCACTATAAAACATATGAACATTTGGATACTATATAGCTTTGTATTAAACATGTAAAAACAAACATAATTTACTTTATTCTTACTATCCAAGTTCTAAGACACTTTTAATATCAAAGATTTGAAACAATCTAAACAGTGAGTTGTTGTTGCTCTTATAAAAGTCAGTTTAACTAATTCTGATCATAGCTTGTAAAATAATATTCCAAGTTTGATAAATATGATCAACCAAATAAAAAAAACGATTAAAAATTAACTAACCATAGACCAGGGGCGTAACCAGCAACCTGGCAACCAAGTGTATGCGCGTATACAATTTTTACTGTACCAATTAGAACTACATAGAGATCAAGCATATAGGGTCGTTCATACCTACTAGAAACAAACGATGTTCATACATGCAGTCGTCCATACCTACTAGAAACAAACGATGTTCATACATGCAGTCGTCCATACCTACTAGAAACAAACGATGTTCATACATGGCAGTCGTGCACGTCCACCCCAATAAAAAAGCATATAATATCCATTTATATAACCTTATTCACACCAATAAAAAACACTCAGTGATCAAGCATATAGGTTCGTCCGCACCAGCAAAAACTATAGAGTGCTCACGCCTGTAGTCCTGTCGACACATACTAGAAGCACATGATGCTAATGCAAGTAGTCTTGACCACACTAATGAAAAGTACATGACACTCCCGCTTATAGCATTGTTCACACACACGCCAACAATAAATGCATATCGCCTCGTCCACACTATGTTGATGAGTATGGCTTCGTCCACACCAAGTAGAATAAACATGTTTTTCATGCATGCAGTCACGTTCACACCACTTAGTAGAATATGGGTTCATTTGGCATTTGGGTACATAAAAATCAATTACAAGTTGATGTTGCTCAAGTATACTACCTCGTTCACACCAACTAGAAGTACGTGGTGTTCAAGTATACAATGTCGTTAACACCATGTAGCGTTAGACATTGTTTATCCACCAAGTCTCTTCAATAAATAAACAGTACATAAATAGCCGTGTTTGCATAAAAAATACATAGATCAAGCTAACGGATATCGCCTCGATAAAACAATGTTAATTAGACTGATATCATCGATTTAACCTTATTCATATCTCAAAAACGTCCACAATAATTATTTAAACATTTGTAAGGTATTTTAAAGTGTGATAATAACTCCCTGAGGTTTAAAACTGTTAAGTATATTTTCACTTCTTCAAGGTTCTTAGATAAGATATATCTAGAAATAAACTTTCACAATTCTTTATTCCGTTGCCACGAAATATATCATTACGGACTTTGAGTTCGTAGATGTCTTATAAACGTGAGGATTAAATGATCAAATCCAACTGTTAGATTAGTGTAGCCCAAGAGTTGGTGGTGGGTGCCGAAGAATTTTTGCCTTCTCTCTAGTCTTTTAGTTCAAAATTAGATTTTGCTAGAACAGAAGATAGTTATTGTGTAAATTAGTGTAAATATCCCAAACAAACAGACGAATAATCACAATTTTTTAAGTTGAGGTTTGACCGACATTTCATTCTAAAAAAGTAATGATAGGCTTAAGGAAAAGCAGCAGTTAGTCAACAGCCCATTGCTAATTCTTTCGCTACTCTAATCGAATAATGAGATTTTACCGTTACTCTTATAACGCAAATATGGCCCAAACATGCGGGGCGTGTTTTTGCGGCAATGAGCCGTGAACTAAGGATGTTCGGACTTACAGTTCGACACGATAATCAATAAACCTCGTCCGTTCACTTAAATACATGGAATATATACATATTGTACTGAAATATTAATCTGAGTTTATGGCAAGCAAATTTGATGCCCATTAATTTAAAATAATGAAATAATTTAAGATAAAACAAAATCATCCAGCATCCAATAAATTAAACATATAAAAATCAGCCAGTAAGCTAAACATTTCCAAAATATTAACCACACAAATCAATTTTGCAAAACAAAACGTGAAATATTATACCGTACAAACTTTCGTGAAATTTATTTTGTAATAGTAATGACATGCGTATTGGAGAAAAACTAGTGACAAGAATATCATAACCGAAAAAAAAAAATAGACATGAAAATGATTAAGAAATGAACATCATGAAGGTAGTGGAGAGTATCGTCAATAAAACAGTACATTTTGTCTCTCGTTAAGAATATATATTTATAATTTCTCATTTAATAGCACATACTTCACAAGCAGCATGTATTAAATATATATATATATAATTCTTCATAATTCATTCATCAAATTGAATGTTGCACAAACACACCACAAAATTAAAACAACACGAGAAAACACATCAATATTACATGAACATTTCAATTACACAATGAATTATCAATTTTATTAGTAAAATAGTTATCTTGACCTACAAAGCTCTGCTATTACAATCTACTGGATATGTTCGGTTTTAGACTGGTGTAAGATATGCATTCACATCAATACTCAAACTACTGATAGCAGAAGTACTGAAATCTTTACGTCTTAAGACGATTTACATCAAGACGTTGATAAGCAGAAAATCCCTTCTTTTTTTTTTTACTTTTACCAGAATTTTACTTATTCTAAGTTTATTAAAACATATCATCGCTGTCTCTTTTCTCGCACTTGTTTTTTTTCTACTTTAAAGTAAGATGTTATTCATGATTAACAGCTTTATTTAAAAAAATAAGGGAGAACTGTCAGAATACGAAATGTATTTTACTGTATTTTGGTGGTTAGTATTTTAAACCTGAACAGCAACTTATGAAACACGTTGGTTGGTTAAACAGCCAGGTCAGGTACTTCCAAGTTTCAAACACAGCCATTCCTAGTTTAGAAAAACTGACCATACTGAGAGCAACCAGGCAACAACACTAGCCGCCCGTGCTACAGTTATTGACTGTTATACTTTTAACACTCCCACAATTGAAGTTGTGGAATTTGTTCAGAGGGATATCATGGCTTGAACTTCGAATCTTCAGATCCGCACTACGGCACGCTAACCATTAAGCCACGCCTAGCTCCTATTTTAGCGAATACCTTCGTTTAAGATATAATCAAAATTTGAGTTAGATTATATCGTAGACATATATATCCATATATGCAACTTCACTTTATAAGAAGTGGGTGAATGTGGAGAGGTTATTTCCCCATTTGTTTATTTTACTTAATGCCGTTGTTTTGCAGTATAGTAGCAGATTGAAATGATATTCGCAATTCTATCATTTCCAAACACAAATGAAGAAGTGCAATTAAGAATTACTTTTCACAGAAAGGTCAGGATTGGCCATGGATACTCGTCATATGATCTCATCTCCTATAAAAACATAAAACAATGAAACACTTTTCTCACCACCATAAAGGTTTACTGTATGGTTTTCTTTTTTTTTCAATAAGAAATTTTAAGTATATACCTTAGTGTTATGTCCGTTCAATTTGGACTAGTTTACTTGTGTTCTTACATACTTACGAGTTCTTGTTTGCTCTTTCAAGTTTTTGAATATGGCTTAAATGCTAGAAGAAACGTTATTGTCATACGTTCCAGACTCCATCAGTGGTGTAACTGGGTTTCAAAGAACCTTAGGGCAAAATATTTTATTGCCCTCCCTCAAAACATTTTGAGAATATTTCCCTCTTAATTTCAATATTCAAATTTCAAATACTAATTTTGGGGGACCCCTTAGGGGTCCTCTGCAGCAGATTGCCCACTTATTGCTATGCCACTGTACCAAAGAGAGATTGAATATAGAAGGTTCAATGTAACGCATTTGAAAATAAATTTCGTGTCTATCGATCCACTGATTTGGGACATTAATAAGCATACATAATATTTGCATTTAGAAGCCCTAGAGTGTTTAAATACTTCAAACAAAATCTATAATATGATGAAGAACAATTTAAATAGAATATTGTTTAATTTGTGATATATATATACTTTGATCAACAGAAAGAAACGAACTAGAAAACTCATCAACTGTTCAAGACTATTCCTGTGTACACATACAGGAATTATTTATAGCTCATACAAACTACTATGGACATAACGCCAGAATGAATCCCTAAAGGAAATCAATTGGGCTACTTTAGAGTTCACTTGAACCCTTTTTAAGCTGGAAACTTCTTAAGGGATCTTTTGCTGGATCTTTTCTTTGGGCGTAGATGTTTAGTCCTGGGATGATGTGAACACGTAGTCCCCTACCATCAGCTCCATTCCTTCTTACATCACGTGATTTCCGAGAAAATGATACATGACTTTTGCAACAAAAGTAATAGAATAGCTTATTAAAGGCTTCCCTGAAATCTTTGTTCGTCGCGGCGTAAACGTAGCTGTAGAGACAAGAATTACTCAGTGATATCCACCAGGTGACGTCAATAAGCTTTTGACCAACAGGATGGATTGAGCCCACGACCGAAACGACGACTGTTGGTATCCACATCATCAGCATCAATATAAAGACTACTATATTGCTTTTCAGTACTGCCTCGTCTGTCAGCACGTAGGCTGTGGGATCTTCCAAAGCTTCCATCTGGAGCTTAAAAGCCTTTAATTTGAAGATGGCTCTAACAAAATAGGAGCTGGAAATTAGAATAGGCATCATGACCAGTAAAAGCCCACATACAGCATGATATGGTAGCCAGACGGGGGCGGAGGAGTCACAAAGTGAAGGACCAAAGCCAGTTATTTGCTGACCAACAGAAAAGGCGACAGCTGTAGACCAAATGGTTGACACTGTGGTGACGATCCGGTTCCTCGTGCAGCAGAAGTCATAGCTGATAACACTACCAAGCCCCACGAAGTTTTCCATTGCTATGAACATAAAGGTCAACACGGAGACCAAAAAGCAAACCTCCATAACCAACCACTGAAATGCACATATACCTTGGTCGTGGGGAATTGACGCCAAGATAGCTATGCAAGAAGCTGGAAGCACAAGACCCGTGACCAATAAATTGGCTAAGGCCAGGCTAACTAAATAGATGTTTCCTCGGACTTGCAAAGGATCAATCACTGCTATAGCAGTGATAGCAAAAATACTACCCATTGTACCGACAGTAGCTGTGCCAGAGAGGAAAATCAACCTGGACACACCATTCCAGCTGGCCATCGTTTCGTTATCAACATTACTCTCTTTATATGATAAACTGCTAGTTGTGGGGAACGACCATTGATTTGTCGCTGTTAAATTGGCCACCATTCCTGCGGAATCACTGGATATCTGTAGTAAGAAAAAGAAAACAAAATATATGAGCGTCATTCACTTTATGAAATATTATCTATTTTATACGTTAAAACCACCAAATCAAACAGACACCATATTCAAAGTTTAACTATCACATTGACGTAATAATCGTTTTTTTATTTTTACCGTCTTGTCTAAAATGATGTGACCTTGCAGGTTTTTTTAAACCTTAATCATGGTTAAATACAGTACTGTGAAAAAGTGTTAGGATAAAGTCAAAAATTAGATTTCAGGCTACTTTCACAGAACAATGGAAGGTAAATCACAAGTGAAACATCAAAATCTTACAAATCTTCATATTTAGTACAACAGAAACTCAGTGGAAGTGCTTGAGTTCAGCAAACAGTTAATATTTTGTGTGTCTCTTTATTATTTTAATAACTACAGACAGTCTCTCAGGAATTGTTGCAACATATTTAACCAAAGTGTCCTTTGGGATTTTACTCCAAATGCCTCTAATAAACTCCCATAAAGTTTCATTGGAAGTAATGTTTTGATTTGTCAAGTTTTTGATCTATCAAATCCCAGATCTGCTCAATTGGGTTGAGATCGGGCTGTGTGGGGGCCATTGCATCATTTGAATGACTCCAGCAGCTTATTTCTTAGCTAAGTAATTTCTGCATAGGTTGGATGAGTGCTTGGGGTCATTATTTTCTTGGTAGTAGAATCCTTTACCAATAATATACAAACCACTGGGTACACCATAGCGGATCAGTATATGATGGTACTTGTGCTGGTCCATTATTCCATATATTTTGCAAATATCTCTTATTACCTCAGCAGAAAAACACCCCAAGTCATCACACTGCCTCCCCCATCTTCATGGTAGGTGCTATGCATTGAGGTAAGTATCTATCACCTTTCTTCTGCTGGATGTACAGCCTACGCTTTAAACCAAATATATGAAACTTGGACTGACCCGTCTATATCACCCTTTTCCAATCATCAACAGTCCAGTTTTTGTACTTTTTAGCAAATTTCAGTCTCTTGACAATAATTAGAGATCAAGCTAATGGTTTTTTAACTACTACACGACCAAATATTCCATTCTCGTTGAGTCTTTTTGATACTGTAGATCTGGACACTTTTCTGTCATTTGGTAAATGGTCATTTATCTCATACCTGAGATCAGTGGCAGTCTTCCTTCTGTCTCGATGACTCCATAAACGAAGGCACTTAACATCAGTATCATTGGGTTTAGGTGTTCTGCCTCTTTCTTTCCTATTTTAAAATTTACTTGTCTCGGTCTCACGATCTAGGGTGTACTTGACAGTGTTTGGGGAGCATTTCAAGTCTGCAACAATTTGTCGGAGAGTCCAACCAACATCACGTAAACCTTTTATGCGAAGTCTCTGCTCTACTGACAATTCTCTATGCTTGGGCCGTGACATGACAACAAAACTTAATATATAGTGTTAAACACTGTTTTTATCAAGGTTTATTTGTGGAGTGCTATTAAATTGATTTCTTCTATATACCGGTACCATATGGTAGCTTCTTTCTATATAGTTAAGACACTGCATGGAGTACCATGACAGTTATGTCAGACTCTAAATTTAATCAATATTTTCCTTCAAGCAGAATACTTATGACATGCCCTTGATACAAGTATATGGGAATTCTAAAGAATGATGAGTATTCTTACTCTGGCTCATTCATTTGTCAACAGGGATCAGTGAAGCATTACCATAGTGTTGAAATTTACATTCTGTAATGACATGGAAGAATTAGCACCATAGAATGGAAAAAAATTACAAAATATTCTCTTGTCCTAACACTTTTGCACAGTACTGTAAGAAAACAAAAATGCAACATGCAACATGGTATTTCTTTTTATTCCTAGAGGTTGGATGTATTGATGATGTTCCTATATTGTTTCCTGATATATCATGCTGGATATAACTGTAATTAGCTACACGTACATTGACTCTTGAGGTCATGCTGAGAAAGACACTCAATATGAAAGTATCTCATATTTAGCATCACTTATATCATACAAACTTTGGCGCAACAGATCGATAGGGGCCAGGCTTAAGTGTCCAATTTGATATCACCAGTGTTCCGGGGCAAATTTCTCCGACTACGTACCCTACAAAAACATATAATAATTTCTAAATGATAGACGACAGACAGAGCTTTCTAAACATATATAATATGTTGAGTTTGTGTTAAGTTTTTCCAGCAAACCAAGGAAATAAACAATGGTGGGGTGTTAAAAGTGACATGTCACCAGCAGAAAAATCTAATTTTAAAGAATAAAAAACACAAAAATTGTAAGTATGATTGAAGCCTTTATTGTGATTAATTAGTTAACATATGTGTTTTGAAAATTGTTATTAACTGATTGTCCCATTACTTTTTTACATATGAAAATATCCAAAGTAACATGTCGCCGTAATCATGGGTTCTCCTATACGGTTGTTTATTTTCAAGACAATAATTACACATTTTTGAGTAAATTTAAAGATTAGAGTCTAAAATCAGTCAGGGAAGTATATAAATTAATTTGATCACACTCCAAACACAGGGTATCAAGAGATATTTTGGGTAGGTCCATTTGGAGCTTGTAATAAAATTAGTTTTTTTTTTTAAGCACGTGATTTTCTTTACGCATATATCTAGTGTAGATACTCAAATTATATCATTTTGTTATATCATTATACACAACAGCCAAGACATTTGTTGTTATCAATAACTGAAAGGGTAAGAGTAAATTGCATTTTTAATAAAAATCACTGAACATGAAATTGCATGAACTCCTTTACATGTTCTTCTTTACTTCAGTTTTACGTCAGAGGGAAATATATAGAGCGCATAATACTTTTCCCGTCATATTTAGTTCCATCATGTGCAGATGATCAGGGTGTGAGTGGTGGTAGTTTTAGGTTTAAATGACTGATAAATTACAAAGCTAAATCTGTGAGCGATAATTAGGGGTCTGTTTATAAAATAAGATAATTGGTGACATGGTGAGAAGCATGTAAAGGAGATCACCATTTTAGTTCAACTCCTTGTATATGCTTTGCACTTCATAGTATAATGCTACATTAGAATAAAAGCTTACGTTTATGTTCTGTGGAAGTAGCCTAGTGCAAAATAACTATTCTTGTTCGACTGCTATACGTGGATTTATTGTAGAAATATAAAGGAGATCACATCAATTTCTATGTCTTTGCTAATATACAGAGGTGGTATGCATTTTGGTGATGGGTTTCATATTTGTATTTTTAAAATGGATGGTAAACAAAGTCCGCAGCTGAAATATTATCATATAAAAAAGGCAGCAGAAGGCAAAATCTTCTTAGAATTTGTTTACTTTATGCCTTTTTATTATAGGTACAATATAATATGATAAAGGAGAACACGTGTAAAAAACAGTAGTCATCTCCATCAAGGTGGAAAAATACGATAGAATGTAGCCCGAGCGCTAGATTTTTGGCCCAAGCTTTTTCATTGGATATATTTTCAAGAACTGTGTAAATCATACTTATAAGAGAAGATGTTTTTTAAAAACATTTTCCAGTTCACAAAATGGACACTTAAGAAAGCCTGGCCAATTATAGGGATTCTAATCACATTCATCTATTATGAAGAAAGATAAAATGTAAGGTAAATTTGCTTTTAAACATGCCTCTTATAACATCAAAAATGTGAAACTTAAATTTTCGAAAAGTTCCAGCAAAATATAATTATCTATAGAACTTTTATATGATGAGATATAAGTTTATGTTTTTAACGACTTAATTGAATCCCCATCACTTAGAAGTTTTGTTGTTTATTTTGCCACTTGATACTATGAGATACGATGGCGAATATCATATGTAGCTTTTAAAAACTTCGGTTAGGAACAAAAATTACTTTAACTAGAAATAGCTAGCAACTATTCTTAACATAATAATCCAAGAGTAAAAAGGAACTGATTGCATATATTATTTCTTCGTGGGTGGAGTTTGATAATTATTATAGAATAAGCGTTTGCTGTTACTAAAACAATATAGATTCTTATATGTGGAAAAATGATAATAATAATATATAAACAGAATATAAATAAGAACAAAAATTCGCATCGATAATTTAAAGAAGCATCACACGTTATCACACATTTGTAACAAAATCAGAAACCAGGACAATCAATGCCCAGAAATGGTTTCTAGTTACAGAATTACATTAAAAACAAAACTAAAATCTCAACCTAAATGCTATATACAGTTCCTCGGAAATCAAATCTTGTAACCTTGCAGGAAAGGACGATCCCGACGGAGAGGAGGAATTTCCTTCTAGTGGTCATTAATGGGCTCCTAAATTGTAGTCAAAATCATAACAAGGTGTACAAAGTTATCCAATGCTAAGCAATGGAAAATGTGGCTGTATATTCCTGCAGGTGTATGCAGAGTTATTTCTCTAACTCACAAGTTACACGCGATGTTTAAATTAGCATACGTCCAGTAGCCCCCTAATCTCTCCCCTCCCTTTAAACAATGATACGTTAGAACCGCCCCTGCTTGCTGTTAAAGCACTGTATGTTTAAAATTCATATTGGACACGTAAATTTTTTTCACGTTTTTTCAGTTAGAGTTGCAGTTCTTAAGTATTTATTTTAACATACACATTGTATGGTTGAATTGCCCCGAAATAATAAATACTGTATCATCCAGGCAATCGGTATTTCATTTGTTTTAGTGTCGTGTCACTGATATGATGACACTAAAACAAAAGTCAATTTATCATATCTATAATATTATGTTTGTTGATACATCACTGGTATTCCTTCCAAATCTTTAGAAATAAACGTTAGAGTTTGCCTCGTCTTTCGCGGATAATTTTTGAAATGAGACATTACATTTAATATATTATGAGCACTGTGCGATCTCCTAATTAGAAGTAACCATAACAGCGCGACCCCTGTGTAACTAATATTGAAATATTACCGCTTCTTTTTAGTTTATTTATTTTTTAAACCCACTAAAACGTATTAT